GAAATCTTCGTATAGAAAACGATCCAGAATCCCTAAAAAAATATACGCAGAAACAGCGCAGTTTAAAGAAGAAAAGAAGACCGGCAATATCGGTAGAGACAAGGATGTTAGGGCAGTAGTAGAACGTCGCAGAGCGAGGCAACGAACGAACGTTCCCTTAATCAAACGCCGATATCAAGTTTCAAACTGTTTTCGCTTCCGCTTTCAAATATCCGAGAGCTACTGCCGAACCTCAATTTAATAATGCCACCGGTGAACATCAAAACCAAAAGGGAGACATCGTTCATTCGGTTACGCTTAATGTATTGTTTGAGAAGTTCGAATTGCATTCCTTCATTTTCAACTAAAATTCTAGTTTTCAGTTTAAAAATGATTTCATTGAAAGAGAAATTCTTTTGGACAAAAACGGTAGGTATCAAATGCGTAGAAAAAAGCACATGATAATATCGATCGCGGGGATAAAATAGGACCCCGGGAAAACGTACGCAAACAAATTAGATATGTGAGAGTCGACCATTAAAACCGAGACAAAAGGGGGGAACAATGGGGCACGAACTAACAGCCGACACTCAGAATATTCTTATTTACCTCTTTAACAGCAAGACGTATTTGCTTTCAGGACAGCTTCTCCCGCCGTCAGCGAAAATACGGCCTATCTAAGATCGTATCTCGTTATCGTATTCTTTCTTTTAATATCCGCCTGATCTAAAAAGGAATAAGAAAAACTCATTATAAAGAACACATTAATTGTTTTTTGAATTGAAACAAACGGAAAGTGAAGCTATTATCATCCACGCGAAATTTCATTCACTGTTTGTTTCAGCTTCATTTAACGTGACATAAAACGGAAAATTTGCAGATGCATTTTTCGCATATTAAGCACACCAAAGTTAATTGAGGCGCCTATGTAATTTTGACGTTACATAGCCTAGAGCTATGAGTGGACGAACATTTCACATGTTTACGAAGCAATATGCTAAAGTCAAGATCATGATTACACCTGTATTAATACAATTAATAATAAAAATAATTCGTGACCACATCGACAAATAAAATGATGATGCGGAGAAATTTTTTACTTTTTACTCAATAATCACTATTTGAGGTGACGGCGAAAATTACAACACAGCTCTCGTTGGCTTACACATGTTGCCTTCGTTATTGGATTGTAATTATAGGTACACAGAACGGAAAAAGAAATGAAATATTGTTTGATTTTTGCGCAACACGTTTTCCGTGCATGTTTTTTATACTTTTTCTCGATATATATGATGACTCATCCTGATAAAGTATAATTTGAACCATGCCACTGGGTATTAGAAGTTGGAAAATTAGTTAATTCAACAAAACCCACGAAAATATAATAAATTTTAAATCAAGGAGAAATTTTTTTGGACCAGTAATTCTTTTAAAAATGATTCCTAAACAGGATGAAAATGAAAATTAACGTAAAAAAAAGATTTTATATAAAAGAACAAAAAAATATATATCAAGTTTTACCAAAAGCATAAGAAAAAAATTAAATGATTAATTTTACAAGTACTAATTTTTAGTTTTCAGTTAAATTGAATTAATAATGTTTGTTTTTGTTAAATTGAAATTAATAATGAACAGGTTGAAATTTTTCCACAACATTAAGAATATCTTTTCTGACCTTATTCCTAAACCTCAGAAGCTATGGTTCCAATCCACAGGAGTGGCAGCGTCCTTGGGATGACGGGGATAAAAGGGGATAACAATTCAACGGGTTGAAGTCGGAATAAGTTTGTAAATATTGTCCACAAGTTAATGCCCAAAAATTATTGCCAAAATTATAACTCCAAAATAAAAAGCCTGAGCAAAAAAATACGTCTAACGATATGAAATGCGGCTTTAAAAATGTTCGCGAGTGTACCAAAAAAATGTTCTTTTGAAAACCAAAATCAAAAACTTTCCAAAATGGTTACCAAAATCTAAATTCCACTAACTTCTTATCAGTAATTCAATCGCAACAAAAAGAGAGCTAAATCGGGTTGAACCTCGCTTAAATAATGTGCGGAACTTTAAAAAAACTTGTTTAAAAAGGCGTATCAAAATACAGCCTCGGCAATAACTCAATAATTGAAGTTGAAATTTAGAAAATTATACAATAAAATTAAATAAAAGGGCTCAAAATATGTAGGAACGATTAAATAATTAAAATTTAAACTTAATTAAAGAAATTAAGGGTTCAAAAACTGAGTGGGAGGGGAAAAATGATTAAGGAACAAGACATCCATAAGGCAAGGACTAAATTACGCCACTCCTGTAGACCTAGAACAGAAATCTTAATCGCAAATTTTTAAAACGGTAACAAAGAATGTTAAGCAAAAATCAATACTGTTCGATAAAGATATTATATAGGAAGAAAAAGGGTTCTAAGGGAAAAATAAGCTGTTACAAACGTTGCAACCTTTTAGAAGCCTCAGATCGTTCGAAGTGTTTTCTGAAGAAGGTTGCAACCCAACCCAACTGGAAACCAGAAACATACGGGTTGGGTTGGGTTGTAACCTCTGAGGTTTTTGAAGAACGTTGCAACCCAACCCAACCCGAAACTAGAAATGTACGGGTTGAATTGGGATGTAACCTTCTTCAGAAACTTCAAAACGTTAGAAATGTGTTCTGAAGAAGGTTGCAACCTAATCTAACCCGTCTCTTTCTAGTTTCGGGTTGGGTTGCAACCTTTTTCAGAAACCTCAGAACCAGTGATGGGCGCTGGGTAAATACCCGGCGGGTAGGTATTTCTAAAATGGGTATTTATCCGGGTATTTACCCCGACCCAGGGTAAATACCCAAACAGTGGGTATAAAAGTGATACCAGTAAAAATATATCGATTCCAATAAAATTGAAGAGGAAGACGATGAGGACGTTGAAGACGAGGAATTGTCAACAATCAAAGACGTATTATCATTAGACGAATCTGTCGTAATTTAGATTAGATCAAGTTATTATGTTTATTATCACCAAGCAGCCCTCTGCGTCCATTGTTGGACATAGACCTTCCCTATTCTGTGCTGTTTGAATCCAATTGTTGGTCATTCTTTTGACGTCTACTTCGTCTGTTCGCTCGCGGTCTTCACTCAAGCAACCATTTTGTCCACTGCTCATTCTTCATTCGCACGACATGACCCGTCCAGCTCCACTTAAGCTTTGCCACAATGTTGACCACATCATTTACGCCAGTTCTTCTTCGTAGGTCTTCATTTCGTATGTAGTCCCTCAGAGTTAGACCCAGGATCGACCTCTCCATCTATCTTTGCGCAACTTGGACCCTCCTGGCAATGGTTACCGTTAATGTTAAAGTTTGGGAGCCTTATGTCATAACCGGAAACGCATTGATTGAAAGCCTTTGTTGGCTTTTTCTCTTGAAGATGTCTCTAAGATCCTTCTGTTTAGTTCGCTTGTTTGATTATCTCTCGATACACGAACCTCATAGCCAAGATTACATTGCTGTGAACCGTCTCAATCTCATTATCCCCAATGTTGATGTTCTTCTTGTTGATATTTAGCACGACTCTTGCACACACCTCCTTTAAGTCGTTCATCATTAGTTTAATCTCTCCAAGGTTATCCGATATAAGAACTATATCGTCCGCGTAGCGCAAATTATTTAAGCATTTGCAATCAATGTTTATGCCTTTTTGGGTCCAATCCAGTTGTTTAAATGCACTCTGAGGACTGAGATGAACAATTTGAGTTCCAACAGTGTCCCGCCTTGTTTTACTCACAATCAGTACTTTACTACTTTTACTCTCTTCAATACTTTCATGCAATTTTACCGTCATTGTAGCATTCTTGTAGATGTTATAAATAAGTTTGCTATGTCGATAAGCGACTCTGCATTCTTGAAGTGCTTGCAAATCTGCCATCAACTCAATTTAAATTAAATTTATAAATACCTCAAAATACCCATCGAGGGTAAATACCCCCGGGAATATATCCAGGATATTTACCCTTGAAAATAAATACCCGGGTATTTAACAACACTGCTCAGAACGTGCGAAGTGTTTTCTGAAGAAGGTTGTAACCCAATCCAACCCGTCTGTTCCTAGTTACGGGTTGGGTTAGGTTGGAACCTTCTTCAGAAACCTCAGAATGTTCGAAGTGTTTTCTAAAGAAGGTTGCACCCAACCCAACTGGAAACCAGAAACATTTGGATTGGGTTGGGTTGCAACCTTCTACAAAAAACAGTTCAAACTTTCAGAAGTTTCTGAAAAAGGTTGCAACCCAACCCTACTCAAAACTGAAAATATAAGTTGGATTGGATTACAACCTTCTTCAGAAAACACTTCGAAATTGTTACTGAAGAAGGTTGCAACACAATCCAACCCGAAACTAGAAACATACAGGTTGGGTAATAAAATTCTGAGATCGTTTCCAAGCCAGGATTTGATAGTGTTATAAAAGAACTAATTTATATTGAAATCTGGAGATGACAACAATTAATTACCTCGTTATATCACCTATTGCTCAAATCCAAAACTTGTGCGTAGAAATTATATAGAAAACTGTAAATTCTAATCATAGTTTTAAAAAGAAATTAAAGCAATCTATCAAAAGTTACAAAAAGGAATTAAAACGGGTACCTTCTTTATCCACATGCAATTCTTGTTTGAAAATATTTCTTTGGAATTAAACGATTTAATTGATTATTTTTATTTGTCTCATTAGTTGTGTTATAATTCAAAAATCGTGCTAAATTTTCCGTTTTTTAACTCAAAGGAGAGTGGCACAATCAAGGCGTTCCCACTTTATCCAGTCGCAACAATACAAAATCATTACCGTTTTCCATTCAACCCCGAAGATTCCGCGATTGTTCTCTCAGCATTGGGGATCCGATATAAACTCGTACCATTCAAAAGCCGGATAGGGTTTAAAATAAATCCTTTGTTTTCTTTGGTTTTTACTCTAAAAAGAACGTTTCAAAGAAAAAAAATTAACATCAAAAGGGTATCAAAGGAATCAAGATTAGATTAAGAAATACGTAAAAAATTATTTTATTTATGAATTGAAGTAACAGTTAATTTTTGATTTATTTAAGTGGTAAATAAGAAACTTTGAATACGTTTGATGTAGAAAATATTTTCGGTAATAATAAGTTCATTTTATCTAAATATTTATTTAACTCGGCTATCATATTGATTGATATTTGTACTGTGGGGATTATGGGATCATTACCCCATTGAGTAACCAAGTCGTCGCAATCACTAACATATTTATATAATATTTTTGAAACATATTTATCTGAATAATCGTTAGGTGTTCCAAAAATAACATTAATATTTCTTTCTAATATCCACAAAAGAATATAATTACTTTCATCGTCAGAAATGAAACAATGCAAAATAATTTTGCATGTACCAAGAACTGAGTCGTTTAATAATGATTTTATTACAAAATAAGCATCATTTAAAGGGTCAGTGCTGAATAATTTAGTGTCATGTAAGAAAGAGATAGTATTTGACCAAATTCTAAATGAATCAAAATTTAAAACAACTCCTAACCAATTTGAACAAGTTTTACAAGAAATTATAGATGATTTAGAAATGTTTTTAAATAAATTTGAATTTAAATGAATGTAAGAATAAATGTAGAAGAAATCGGTTAGATCTGGATCTAAAGATTTTATATTTTTATGACCGTGGCAAAACCAATTAGAACTATCAATATTTTCTGATGGAAGAGGTAGGATTTTTTTAAAACAAATATTTTCTGATAAAAACGTTGAGCATTTAATACATTGCATCTGATAATCAACGTTTTTTTTAATCTCTATATCTAAATTGGTTCGATTATTTTGATGAATATCCGGTAAAAGAACTTGAGATGAAAATGTGCCTAAATCATTTTTTGTAAAACACTTAAATGATAAGAAATTCTCATTAACATTAATACAACTAATTTTATCTGGAACTAAAAATTTGTCACTATATGGTATTTCAAATAATTTTGTGCCCACAACAAACGATTTACCATCATAAATAACATCCCAATTATTTCCTAAACACTTAACATCTAATTCTAAATTTACAATAACATTAATTGATTGAAGTTTCGGACGTATTTCAATTATAAAATTTTTAAACGCATTATTTCTCGTCCCCATTATTTTTAATTTCCCTCACAACTTTCTTTAACACACCACTTTGTTCAAACGCTTTAAATATATCATCCGTTTCGCGAATTGTGTACGGTAAAGTCACCCTTTGATAATAATCAGGTAATAATTCAATGTTATTTATCACATTTGCTAAAAGATGAGCCCTTTCAGCCAAAATACCAGGCGCTTCATGTCGTAAATAAGAAAAATGAATGTGAAGATGATAATAAGAAGGTTGGTAATGAAGATATATTCTTAGTTGAGATTTTGGTAACCCATATTTATCTTCTATTGCTTTCTAAATTAAAAATTAAGTGTTTAATTAACGTTTTTGAATTATATTTTTATACTTACAGAACCGTTAGTCATTACATTTCTTAATAATGGGAGATGTTCTTCGGTTAGGTCTCTTAATGATTTTAAACCCCTCACTTTTACTATTGCTATTAAATATAAATTATCAAGAGTAGTTCCGTTCCATTTTAAATCAGGTAATAAAACAAAACCAATTTTAGGGTCAGAATCTTCGTAAATTATCCTGTCAGCTTCGCATTTATGGTCTAAAATGTTATACACCCACTAAAAAATAAAAATTTTGCAATAAAAAAAAATATATGATTCAAATATTTACTTCTAGGTTATTATCACACTTTTTCTCAACAATTGGTAAAACCACTTCTTTATATAATTCCCCAGTTTCATTTACAATATGAAATGTACTAATGGAATATTTTTGAATTTCTCTATCAGTCGCAGGATGAACAATTATTGCTTTTAAACCTAAAAATACATTAAAAATACATAAACAACCTAATATTTTCTTGTATACTCACAATTTAAGCTTCCATTAACTAAATACTCATAATTCCCATAAATATTGTTGTGATAAATTTTATTTAACGAATTGTTTTTATGAAAGTATTCACTGTTTGTTGTTAAATGATCATCTTCAAACGCAGTTTTCTCCAAAATCACCAAACCTTTTCCATCAACACCCTCAAACGAACCCAACAGGGACACCGATTTACATTTCGTATTATTACTCAATACCTTATCGATTGTAAAATCAGCTAGATTTTTTATGTTCGTATGAATGGACTCTTGAGCGTCATCCGCCGCGTCTGTTATCTTTTGCTTTTTCGATGGGGGACAAAGTAAATCTTCCGATTCAACAACTTCCTTCAACAACGTTTTTTCGCCGGTTTCCGCCATTTTGAACTGGCTTTGTTTGTATTTTTTCTTTGCCTCTTTGATTTTGTTACGGATCAACAGATGTCACTAAAACTAATTTAATGTAAAAGAATCCTTAATTTAAATAAAGTCGATTTCAATTTAAAATTATAATTAAAATTAATAGTTACATTAATATTTTTATTTTTAAAAAATAAAAGCAATAAACTTAAAATTAATCGTAAAATTAAAAAGTATTTTATCTTAAATACAGATGGCGCTGCAACTAATTTTGACGTTTCTTAACTTTTAGGTTAATATCTAAAGTTTAGCTTAATTAAAAATTTACTTTGAGTGTATTGTAAGTGTTTTCCTGGTAACACGTGCTGATAAACCGCTTATTAGTCATCGATTTGGCACAATTTATAATATATATATAGTTAAGGAGTTGTAGTTTCAGCCCATTTTTGTTGTGGTAAATAAGATGTTCATTAATTTGTTGCATTAAATTATTATTTCTTTTTAGGATTATTTGCTCAAAATGTTTAAATCGCTGTGGAGTTTCATTGAATTTTGGTATTTAAGATATTTACTTGTAACAGAACTTTATATGGTGGAAAAATGGGAACGTATAATGATCCGTATCCTTTTCTAAACAACTCAATTTCTTTATATAATAGTATTATTATTTATTTATTCCTTAACATTTTTTTAGATGTTATATTTGTGGTGATGTTTTCATTAATATCTATATTTAATGTAACCGTAGTAGTAGAAGGTGTTAAATATCTTAAAACAATATAATATAGGATAATACCCAGCTTTTCCATAAATTTCATGTATTCATTAAGATTTCTTATAGATATCTATAGTAACTTTAAGTATTTTTTATTGTTGTAGTTTTAATAATAAAAAAATCTTTAATTTTAAACCTATTTCTATTCTAAAATCTTCTATATTTTAGCATAAATCTAAAGCCAAATAAAAATGTATCAAAGTAAATACAATAGAAAGATTCTGAATACAATAAATTGATTAAATTTCTCTGTATACATATTTCTTAAGTTTCATTGCATCTTTTAGATTTATTATCTGGATAACTACCAAAATTTGGGTTGGGAATGATGATTGAAAAGTTTGCTAAAAATAATAAGACACAAAGCAAAATGATTTAATATTAATATAAGATTTAAATTTGCAAAATCTCTTTGGAACTTAATTATAACCTATAAGAGAAATCAATTATTACATATAAATTATAATGGTTAATTTGTTATTAAAGTTGTTACTAAAGTATCGATTATAAAATACAATAAGTATATTTAACAGAGGTATTGATTTCAAATGAAAATATCTACAGGAATATACAACCTTGACTTTGTATTACTCATACCGTACAAATAGTATAATTTTCCACTCGAATACCGCAAATATCAACAGTTGTTAAAGTGAAATAGAGTAGATAACCAATGTGTTGATGCTTAAATTAAATATCAGTAAAGAGTCTAACAACTGGTTTATTATTTATTATGTTTCTCTGTTCAAAAAGAGAAAAATAAGAGAAGATATTCAAGCAAAAAAACCGTACACGTTTCTTCCACGTTAAAAGTATCTACGATTTCAGTGAAACGGCTTTAATACTAGATAAATCAGATTGTAAGTCAGTTAAGATTACAAATTTGTGAATTTGGTAACATCTTTAGTTTATTCATAACAGGTAATAAAAATAGGTTGTATAAATACGAAAAATAAATTAATTTATGGTGGATTTTTAATTCTAAATCGTTGTTAAGATAACTATAAATTAATTATTAATTTTACTTATAAATAAATTTTTTAATCCCTTCAAATTTTGACATTCAAATGACATTTTAATCTGCCATTTTAGTAATGAACATAACCTCATTTTCTTTTTTTGTGTAAAATATAAACTTTTTTGATAATAAAGTCTAATTTAATTTTATTAAGTTATTAAGGCCCACTTTTACCACCTCCTGATAAATTTATCCGATATATAAATCTAGTTCTTAGCCAATGAGAGCGCTTAAAACCGCCGTAACCATGGCAACTATCCTCTAGATAGTTTATCAGGACGATGGTAAAAGTGGGCCTAAGATAACTATAAATTAATTATTAGTTTTACTTATAAATAAAATTTTTTAATCCCTTCAAATTTTGGCATTCAAATGACATTTTAATCTGTCATTTTAGTAATGAACATAACCTCACTTTATTTTTTTGTGTAAAATGCGCTTTTTTGATAAAAAAGTCTAATTTAATTTTATTTTTCAGTATTAAAATGGACGTAATAAATACATTAACAGCAGAATTCCACAAAATCCAAACCACCAACGTACAACAATCCCACAAGAATTTCAAACTTTTTTTATCGACGCTTCCAGAAAAGCTAAAAACCAACGAAAATGAATTTATTTCCAATTTAGTACCACAAACCAAGCTAGAACATTTATTTAAAATCGATATTTTATTACATTTAAAGAGACACAATGATGTTTTAGATGTTTTAAAAAATGGTAATAATCGTTATGTTGGAAGGATTTTGAAAGACTTTGATTTTCTTGCTGATCTTGTACCAAAGTTAAGTGTTAAAATGGTAATGGATGATATTTTCCCAGAAATATCTTATATCACCAAACTAAAAATTCTTAACAGAATTTCTAAAACTGTTAAAAATGAAGAACTTTTAGATGAGTATTTTGAAGAAATTGAGTGTAAATATGGCATTGAAATGGCGTTCGTTTTATTGCCAGGTTGTTCTAAGAAGTTAATAAGGTTTAAGGTTGAAAAATATGTTTGGAAATTACCAAGTAGACACGTTGTTGAGATTTATAAAAAAGATCATACATTTCCATTATTTTATTTCGATTTATTAAAAAAAATTGATGAAAATTTTAAATTTAATGATTATTCGATGTTAATTAAGTTTATTATTAAAAAAGACCCCACTTTGTTTTGGAATTTGCAACAAAAATATAAATTTGATTTTAAAATTGGAAAACATTTAACAAAAACAACGATTTCATCAAACGAAAATGTCTTAAAAGAGGGGGAAAAGTGCCTTAAATGGTTTCAAAATAAAGAATTGTATAAAATAGTTAAAGAAAACGATGAATTTTTGCTTACACTATATGGAAATACTCCAATTGAGTTTTTGGAAGAACAAATTTCGAAACAAAATTCATCATTACTTAATATTTTAAAATATTATTCGCCAGAATCGCGATATGATTTAATCAAGAATTTATTTAGTAAAAAATATTCCCAAAATATTTTAAGATATGAAACGAAATTTCCTTTTCACTTTTTAGAAATGATCCCTATTTCAATTAGAGAAGTAATAATTAAAGAACATTATCACACAAATGATGATTATTTATATTTATTACATCCAAATGAAGCGTTTGTGAGAATTAAAAAGTTGTTGGAAACTTGTTTTAAGATGGAAGAACGTAAAAAGCAATTAAGACTTTTAGCAAAACTTGTTGCAATAAATTTGAAAGATGAAGAAATAGTTACAAAAATAATAAAACATGTTTTTGAGAGATACAGAAATGATGTGCAACCTTTTAAGGTGTTTGTTTTTGATCTTTGTGATGAAGTTAAGAATTTAAAATGTTTTAATGAAGATCAATTGATTTTATTGAATCAAATGGCGCCTTATACTATAACTGAATACAGTAATCGATTGTGTGCTGAAAGGATATCTTTGGCTTATTTAATGTATTTAATTAAAAATAATAAATCGTACGACGATCATTTAATGGATTATTTAAAACAGCTTGTGTCAGATTCTTATTATAATTGCATTTCTATGCGTGAATTGGAAGATATGGTTTTAGTTATAGATAAAATTCTTGAAATGGTTGCAAGTTTTAAGGAGAACAAAGCAATTTATAACCAATTAACAAGGGAAATTATAAAACGTATTTTTTGTTATAATAAGAAACATAGAAGGAATTTAATTCCTTTATCTTCATACAAAGAAATTCTCCAACACGTTCTCTCACTTGAAAATTCATATAACAACAATGAATATTTTAAATATTTAATAAAAAGATGTAATGATAAAGATATCCATCAATCTTTTTGGAAACATTATAAAACTCAAAGCTTATGGAGCCTATTAATATGGTTTTTTAAAAATGATATTAAACAAATTGAAGATAATTTAACTTTAATTTTATCCACAATCGAATATTGCCCATCAATAAATGTTTATAAAGCTTTTGGTGATTACTCAAACGATTTTATAAAACAAAAAAGTTTGGAATATATTACAAACAATATTAATTATGATAATGCTCAAAAAGCACAATTTTTAATGCCAATTTTGTGTTACATCGCGAATACGAAAACGTTTTTAGAAACAACATCGAATTTTATGCCCCCAATTAATGGAAAATTTGAAACTGAAAATGCTTTAAATAAAAAATTTCTACACGGAGTTGTTATTAAATGTTTATGTAATATCGAATTAGAAAAAACACAAAAATTAGAAATTATTAAAAAAGTTTGTATTGGAGATTATTTAAAATTCGGGTTAAAACTTTTATACAAAACCGTTTTGAATATGAAAGAAATCGACGTTTTAAATTTTTTGAACGATTTTAAATTAAATCAACCAATTTCAGTTTCAAAACATGCTTTATTTTTGGCTTTATCCCTACAACTTCACGAAAGTGAACAATTTTTAAATGAAGCTTTAAAAACTGAGAAAAATTCTTCGATTAAAAACATTATTTTTAAAAAATTTTTCGATATTTTTTTTAACACGAAAAATAAAAAAAATTATGAGCAATTATCAAATTATTTTAAAGTGATTAACACCGAAGATAAAAATTTGCTTGAAATTATGATTAAAAAAATTAAATTTGTTCCTAATGAGTATAATATCGATTATATTTGGAATGTTTTTGAAATGATAAAAAGTATGAAAAAGAAAGAAAGGATTGCGTTATTTATAACGTTATCGAAGAATTTACCGAAAAATGTTTTAAACGATTTACCTTTAAATGTTTTAAAAAGTTTAATTGAGATTATCGTCGAAGATTTATTTGCAAAAGAATTAAGAGAAGATTGTTTTTGGGATTTAATTATAAATACAAATCAAGAAAATAGCAAAGAATTATTTTCGTTCGCAATGGAAATTATGAAAGAAAAGCTTTCATCTTTTACTGCAGAAATTGGTTACCTACAAATTAGGAAATCACTTAATTATTTTACAACGTCGTTCTGCAAAAAGATTTTAAAAAGCAAAGATATAAACCATTTAAATCTTATAAAAATACTCGACATGCAATGGGATTTTTTCCCAAAACATTGTTTATTAAACACGAATATTTTTATCAAAATAACCAAACATTTCTTCGAATCAAACTTTGATTTTAACAAATTCGCTTTTCTTATTAACAACTTTTTACATCAATCAATAAAAGAATACGATTCCAGCATCATTTCGGAATTTTCAGTTCAAATAAACGAGTTATTTAAAATTATAGACGAGAAAAATATTGATTTAATTACGTTTACAAACCTTTTGATACAATTAAACGATCACAATTACAATTATATTCTTGCAATTTATTTATTGCCGAAGTTGTATCCAACGGAAGATAATAAACATTATAAATGGGTTGAAATTCTTCGATTAATTGAAGAATTTTGTTTAAAAGGAGGGAATACTAGTTGTGTTTGGTACCATTTTGATAAATATTTGAGGCAAAGTCGTTCTGAATTTATTTGGGTTGGAAATCAAAAATTTCCTGAGGTTGTAACTACTAAATTATAGAATTTATTACTTTGTTTAATGATTAATTTAAATTTTAAGTTTATTTTGCTTTCTCCTGTTTATTTCAAATTTATGTGGAATTAAAATAAAACTTTGTTGTTCAAGATGAATAATTGTTCTTAATCTGTTATTTAATGTCTAATTATTGTTGATTAAAATGATAATGTTTTTAGGTTCAGCGTAATAACTTGAAAGTATTTAATTAATTATCGTAACCCACGTGACCTGTGTAATATTGGCTGCATATCTCAATATGTAGTGGTAGCTTGGATAATTTTAAACTATTTCTTTTTAGAACTATCGTTGTTTCTAGCGTATAAACAATAGTATAGTAACTATAGTATAAACAAATCAAAATAACCACTACTTTAAACATTAATTTCAATCTATGGATACACTAAAAATTATTTTAAACAAAAGGACAGAAAGTTAGTTACATTTTTTATACTTATTAAAATATATCTAAATATATTTTAAACGGCTTTTAAAGTTAATGAATTGTCGCCATCGTTTTTAGGAACTTTCGTCGCGTTGCAATACCAATCTGTGATATTGGTTGCATACTTTGTCGGGTATAATAATTAATTAATATTTCTTCAAGTGTATAACAATTTAAAAATGTATTCTTATAATTATTAGTCAACAAAATTTAAAAAAAATATATATATATACAATTTATTTTAACAATTTAAGCACATCACTTGGAGTCGGTTTTTCAGCAACACCAAAAACAGTTAATCCCAATTTAATCATAGCTGATTCGGTTGTTGGTCCAATTGCGATTAACTAAAATGAAATTAATTAACTTAAATAAACAATTACTAATCATTTAAATACCTTCATTGAATTTAATGGTAATTGAAATAAAATTGTTTCAATCGCCTTTAATCCCGAAGGACTAAAAAAAACAATATACTCAGGAAAAACATTTAAAGATTCTGTAACTTTTCCAAAATCCTCTTCAATATGTTCATTAGTAACTGTTTCATAAACTTCAACTTCTTCTAAAGTAATCGAACTTTTTGAAAGTTTGTTTTTTAAAATATCCATTTTTAAATTACCATGGGGGTATAAAAATCTTTTTGCAATTTTATCACTATTATTTAATAACCGAATTGATAAATTATCAGCATTTCCAGTTTCTTTTCCACCGCATTCAACATCAAGTTCTTTTAGGGCTAATTCATATGTTGCTTCTCCAACAACGTAATTTTCCTTCAATTTCCATTCATTAGGTAATTTACATGCATATTTTACAGCAAGAACACATCGTGGACTTGATAATATCATTCCTGCATAATCATTGGGGCATTTTAACTTATTTTCTAGAAGATTTAAATTTTTGTATTTAAAATCAATCGTTTTTACTTGAATCACCTGAAAACCATTTTCTCGTAAAATAATTTCATATTTATCGTCTTTTTCATCATTTGATTGTGATTTTAACAGAAAAATTAAATTTTTTGTTATTGACATATTTATAGGTTATCTAAATGTCATTTCTATTGTGTGCTTGTCATTTTATTGCGCCATCTAGTGTTAAATAGCTTAAAGTTAAATATAAACTAATTAATTTAATTAATAACTATTTATTTATTTTTGGTATTTATATTATGTACAAAAATCATTTTATTTAATTTTCTCTTTCCCTTGACGGTTTTCTATTTCTGCGGATAACTTTAACTTTTCTCGTTCGAATTCTTTTCCCAAATTCGTCATTATTATTGTTATTATTATCCACTTCGCTTTGAGTGTTATTTCTTTTAGGATTGATATTATTTTCGTTAAATCTAGGTGTATGTCGATTTCCTCTATCCTCTACGTGAGTTATATTGGGATTGTATTCTGGAAAATTGGGAATTAATTCAGTTCGAATGTTGGGATTGCTATCTTTATTCTTATTTTGTTCTGATCCACTTCTAATATCAATATTTGGTAAATCATTATTATTTCGTTGAATTGGAAAATTTTCTGGGCTTGGTAAATAATTGTTAACGTTTAAAAGTTTCGAATTTTGTCTTGATCTCATTTCTTGTTCTATTAATTCATTTCTGTCATTATTTATTTCATGGGGAGATTTGAATGGTTGTTTGACGTGAATTTTCGGTGTTAACTGATGAAATCCTTCTTGTTGGGTACGATAGCTTTCTCCAACATTCGATGCGGTTGTTTGAATTTTAGCTGAGCCATAAACTTCGTAAGGATTTTGAAGGGCAAAAGAGGTAACGGGGCTGTAGCCCTGTTGGGGAATCTCCTGCCTCTGATTGAATTGCAAATTTCTTTGCAAATTAGGTAATTCGAATGCAGGACCTTCAGGTCGCCAACCGCTTGGAGGATAAGGAGGGAATTGTTCCGTAAACGTTGGTGTACATAGTACAACCAAGAAAAATAATCTCTTCATTATCTAAAAATTAAATTCAATTAATTAGTATTATTTTTTTGCCAATCACACTAAATTGGGGGTTATATTGCTTCAAATTAGGGTTTACAGTTACCAAGTGATGATTTACAAACATCAGTGGTGCAGTAATTGCTGTTTATTTAAGACTTATTGGTATATAAGCAGTGATTTGATGTCGATTCATTAACTGTATCTTAATTAGAAGTAAATGGCGAGGTTGGTAAATAATAATATATTAATATAAACTTACCTTCATTGTGGAAAGGTGTAAATTGGAATGATGGGATTGAAAAAAAACCTTATGACTATATATGCGCGGTATGTAACGTCATTTGTATTCTTGCACTTGGGTATTGTACGTGATTTATCATGTTGTAACACCTGGCGTAGACGAGTAACTAATGTCCGCGTACTCTATTTCAGCAACATCCTGTGCAATCTTTTCGATTGAATAATATATCCTAAAAAAATATATTACTCGTACACCCATTAAAAACGATTGCTTATTGCGGTTATGTCTTGCTTATAATTATTATTTAACTCACAATCGATTGATACAATCTAAGAAAATAATAATAAAGTTAAAAAATTGCATAATTCGTTTTCTTTAAATAATTGAAAAGCAACATATTGAGTTATAGTTGTGGATTAGAGTCATTAACCTTTTTTGCAACGTCATGGCCGTTGCGTAACTTTACGAATATAAGATCAAAGACGATTAATAATGACCCTTTACTCTTGCCAGATGTGCCCTCATTATGGTGAGTGATATCGTGGACATCAGTTTATTTAGCCGAGGATAATTACGGTCGAGGTGTTACGTTGTTTGACGTCAGTCTTGTGTTGATATGGTATTAAATGTAGCGCATCGCCCGCAAGCGACCTTGACTTAATTGGACTGAAATGTCACTCTATTAAGACGAGGTCGCTTGTGGCAGAGGTGCTAGTTTATACATAATTTTATTCTTCAAATCCTGCACATTTTGAACGTCTTCAGAATAAACAATTTGTTTTAAATGTCCCCAAAACCAAAAATCTAACGGATTTAAATCTGGTGAACGAGGTGGCCCTCCTCGGCCAATCCACTTATTGCCAAATCTGTTATTTAAGTATGCTCGAGTAGCGCGTGCATAATCGTGCATAAAGTAGCAATCTTCTAGAATTTGTTGAGGTAATTCATCAAATGCCTCTGTAAGGTCATTTTGTAAAAAATGTATGTAGGCATCGGCTGTCAATCTCTTTGGAAGAAAAAATGGACCTAATAACTGATCACCTATAACTCCAGCCCATACATTAACACTGAATCGCCACTGATGATGAGTTTCTAGTATTGCATGGGGATTTTCATCGCTCCAAACGTGCGCATTATGAATATTAAAAATTCCGCTTTGAGTAAATGTTGCTTCATCCGTAAATACAATGTTTATGG